CCCCTCTTGCATTCCTAGCTCCATTATTATAATAGATGTCACCCCCCCATACCTCTCTCACCTCTTCTACTTTTCCCTCATCCCAGTTTGTTTCTTGGATGCACAGTATGTCGCTTTTATATACATACAACAACTCCTTCACCTTCCCTCTATCCCTTAAGCCGTTCACATTTACAGAAGTTACAGTGGCCATGAGAGCAAAACAAAATAAAGAAAGTAACTGAAACACTGAAAAGATCACATACCAGACCGCGGTCCCTTATTCCTGTCTCCTCCCACTCTGTCTCCTACAGCCTTTCTTTTTGCTGTCGGTCTCTGAGCCACTGCTGTCTCATTCTCAGATCCTCCTCGTCTCTCTTCTTCCATCCATTCTTCTCCGCTCCTCTGTTTTGGCACAGTCTCTCCATCGTCCCCCTGATTCTCTGAGCACCTCTGTCCTGTCCCCCTCGGTCTTTCCTCCTCAGTCTCGGCCAGCTCCTCGTCCGTCTCGACTCCTCCCGCCTGACCAATCCTCTCTTCCTCCTCTTCCTCCATGACGCCGTCCTCACTGTCGCCGTCCATCTGATACCTCCGCTCCAGTTCTCTATCTTCTTCATCGTTCTCACCTCCAGCCGCCTCCTCTTCCTCCATTGTATCCTTACTTTCTTCCTTGTCGGTCTCCGGCTCTGTCTCTCTCCCCTCCTCACACTCGCGTGCGAAATGGCCTGTTTTTTTGCATCTGAAACACTTGAATTCGGGGCAATCTCTGAAGACATGCCCCGGTTTTATGCAGAGTCTGCACACCCGCATCTGTCTGTCGTGGATCACACGGAAATACTCCGTGCCTCTGAGAGTCTCAAACTTGGTGGAATACGGGAGTGAGCGCACCTCCTCAGTGAAGCGCACCTTTAAAAACCTCGTTCCGTCAGCGATCTCCGTCCCCGGCCACATGCGCCTCTTGATTGGCGACATCTGCCTCACTCCCCACTCATTCAGTCGTGATACAATCTTATCATCTTCCATGTATACCGGCAGGTTAATGAAGGACACCACCATATCGGTGCTAATTATGTCCCTGGCATGCACAAGCGCTCCTTTCACACGAAGACCATCCATCAGCTTCGTCTTCCCCTCCTCGTCCTTCATTGTGATTTCATACGTCCTCTCACCTCTCACTCTGCAGCCGATCACTTCTCCGCACTTCTTCTTCACCTCCTTCAAAACTTCCATCATTGAAACTCTTGCCGTTCCCTCCACCTCCACCTCGATCGTCAAGTCTCTTCCGTACTTCTCTCTCACTCCTCCTCGCTCTTCTCCGCCACTCTTTCTGTTCAGATTTCGTTCTTCGTTTACTCCTTGGCCTTCATCCGTCTCGTTGCTCTGTCTACTGTCAATCACGGGTTGTCTGTCGTTCACCACACTTTCCTTTTCTCCCATATTCCACCTGTCCGTGTCTTTACTCGGCAATTTTTCCGTTCCGTTGTTTGTTGCCATGATGTCCGACCGAAAAAAACGAAAAGCCTCCCCCAAACAGCAAAACCGTCGGGGGATTGAGGCTTATAATAAACGCAAAATTCTTTCCAAACGAAATCTATCACCAAAATGACGAAAAAACTAATATATATGAAGAAAAACGTTTTTATTCAAGGCACACTATTCCCGCTCTGCCACTTCCTGCTTCAACCTTCGGGCGTGTTCAGGGTGGTATGGCCGTAAGCGAAGAACCAATCCACAAAAAGGCTCTTTATATGGAGAGGGACAAGAAGCCAACACTAAGAATGTATCTTTTGCTCCTACTCTTTTCTTACTCTTTACTCTGACAAGAAGGATATCTAGACAGTCTTCCCAGTCCACCCATCTTCTGTTGAGCTTCAATTGGCAGACATTTTTCCGTCGATTATAACCATTCCAGGCCCAGAAGCAGCGCCAAACCATGATTCCCCCTCCACCATACTTGACAGTTGGGATGAGGTTTTGATGTTGGTGTGCTGTGACTGTAAGCTTTTCCTCTTCTCTTTATAAAAATCAGAGGGGGCTGCTGCCTCTTCACTGAAGCAGCTTGTCCCTGGACTTTGAATTAAAAATTATTATTGTATAATAATAATTATAATATCATTCAATATAATCAATAAAAAGGGCGGCAGCCCGTGGGGACTTGTTTTGGGATTTGGAGGGTCACCATATCTAGTACAACATGGGCCATTGCCAAAGCTGCCCCTGAGCAACGTAACTGACATGACCTGAACCCGTAACTGCTCCCTATCCGCTAGGATGTTTTAAATGCAGAGAACAAAAACTTTCCCCTTGGGCATCAATAAAGTATATGAAAAAAAATGTAATAATTTATGTGCTTACATAATGAAAATCAGTAATAATGATCCAATAATAGGCTTAATTGAGAATCAGCATCACAGAGAACCTGACATGGTCACCTCACATCTCCATGCTGGTGAAGAAAGCTCAAAAAAAAAAAAAATTCTTGAGGAAGCTTAAGAAGGCCAAATTCCCTTACCTAGTTCTTGTCAGCGTTTACAGAGGAGCAATAGAAAGCATCCTGACTGGGAAAGTCGCAAGCTGGCATGGGATGTGCACGGCCCAGGACCGGAGGGCTCTGCAGCAGGGGATTCAAACTGCTCAGAAGATCATTGGTACCCATCTCCTGAACATCAGTGATATCAGTGAGGTGAGGTGCCTGCAGAGCCCAAAGGATACTAAAGGACAGTACGTCTGTGAAGATTCTCAGTCATCCAGGTCATAGTTATCCAACGAAGGTTAAAGTCAAGGGCAACTGGACTTGGTTGAAGAGACTGGAAGACGTTTCGTCCCTCATCCAAAGGACTTCTTCAGTTCTGACTGACTGGCAGGGAAACTCAGCTATTTAACCTCAGTGGGGTCGTTTGCCAGGATCGTCGATACTGCTGGTTCGTTAGTGTTCCTTGTTGCTGTGACGACAGTCGTTACAGTCGTTAAGACTACCTGTGGCCAAGACTGAACGACCATCGTTGGTATCTTCACCTGAGGCCAATAGGTTACGTTTGTTGAGTTTCCTGGGAAGTGATGAAAGGACAGCATTGTAAGTGGGGGATAAGTGGTGGCGTAGACCCCCTCCCCTGTTCAATGACGGCTTCTCGACTAAAGGACAGTACCCAGCCAGCCACAGCCTGTTCACCCTGCTGCCTTCTGGGAAGATATATAGAAGTTTCAGCTGCCGCACCACCAGACTGCAGAGCAGCTTTTCCCCCCAAGCAATCAGACTCTTAAACTCTAGTTCATCCTCAGCACTGCTCCAGTGATGGCAGTTTATTTCTGTTTACCATTTTTTATAATTGCTTCTATTGTAATATATATTGTCTGCTATGTAGCAGAAGGGAGTTACAAAGTCAATTTTACTCTATAACCTGTTATATTGTGACAAAATAAATCTTCCTACATGAAAAAGCTTACAGCACCTGGTATTCCCAGGCGGTCTCCCATCCAAGTACTAACCAGGCCCGACCCTGCTTAGCTTCCGAGATCGGACGAGATCGGGCGTGTTCAGGGTAGTATGGCCGTAAGCGAAGAACCAATCCACAAAAAGGCTCTTTATATGGAGAGGGACAAGAAGCCAACACTAAGAATGTATCTTTTGCTCCTACTCTTTTCTTACTCTTTACTCTGACAAGAAGGATATCTAGACAGTCTTCCCAGTCCACCCATCTTCTGTTGAGCTTCAATTGGCAGACATTTTTCCGTCGATTATAACCATTCCAGGCCCAGAAGCAGCGCCAAACCATGATTCCCCCTCCACCATACTTGACAGTTGGGATGAGGTTTTGATGTTGGTGTGCTGTGACTTCCATTCTTGTTCAGTGTTTGACGTCTCGTAGTCATCAACAGACATTAGCATGTTCCAGAGATTTGTCTTCAGCTGACACTAGGTTTTTTCTAACCTCATTGAGCATTCTGCACTTTTGCAGGACAGCTATTCCATCGCAGGGCTGTAACCATGGTTTAGAAATGAGTGAGGTCCAGATTTTTTGTTTCTTTTAACAGAGCTTATTTACGGTAATTCAAATTATACCTAAACCCAACCAAAGTTATAGGCTACACTACAGTCATACAAACTAATGCAGACTTGCAGACTACATAATGGGCACTATTGTTACTATACAGCAACATAAATACACCAGGTTAGTGCTGAATTCAGAGGATGCTCTGGTCAATATTACAGCCAGTTATTGCGCACACGTTTTCATATGCTTCATCAAGTATGAACACTGAAGGGGAAACAGTGTTTCAAGTTGAAATGAGGGTTGCGCCGGTATAATCAGCTGCGCCCGCATGGTCCTAAAGCCTTCATTTAAGTTGATTGTATGTTATCAATGTTTTTTTTCAAATTCTTTTATTGATATGCTTTAGCCTACATATAATTAAGGAGGTCCAAATCTGCTCCTATTGAGAGTAGCAACAGTGCTGAACATTCTCCATTTATAGACAATTTGTCTTGGGCTGATGAACATCAAGGCTTTTAGAGATACTTTTGTACTCCAATTATCTTTTGTTAAGTCATTAGCCTAGACGTTTACATACTTTTTCCACCCTGCACTGTGAATGTTTACAAAGTGTGTTCAATAAAAACAAAAAAATAAAATTGTTTGTGCAGTATTAACTTAAGCAGACCGTTTGTCTATTGTTGTGACTTAGATGAAGATCAGATCACATTTTATGTCCAATATATGCAGAAATCCAGGTAATTCCAAAGGTTTAACATACTTTTTCCTGCGACTGTGTAATAAACTGGTGGCCAGGTTACATCCACAGTGTATCCAAAAGATATTGCATTGGCACTCTTCAGTACTTTGTGTTAAAGGAGTCTATAAAAGTCAGCTTCAATACATAAAGATTTTCTGAGGCATGAAGTATGGAGGCACCCAGCACTGCACGAAAAAAGCTGCATTGATGGGTTAGACTGTTAACAGGGACTGATGATGTGGCAGATTGTTTTTAGCGGGTCAGCAGCACAGAAAGAATCCATTTGAATGGCTTGAAAACAGCTTTAAATAAAGACTCAAAAGTTTATTATAGCAGCAATAACAAATATAAAATCTCAAACTGATCTGTTCTCAGATCAGAACTAGGCTGAACTTTTGCTGCAACTTAACATGTTGTCATCAACAATGCGCTGTGGTGACCAATCATGCGAGTGCAGATTCATGGTGGATTACTTTGTAATGTCAACACTGTATTCCTACAATTGACCTTGTGATTGAGACGACAGAAGATAAAATAGTTGTAAAATCCTGTGTGAGTGTATTATAAACATCTATACAGTGTTTTGATGCTAAATCTTCAAACTCATGGATCTGTTAATCAAACTGGACTTCCTGGATAGATTTCCTGTCTCACTGGTATCACACACCCACACCAACGCAGGGCTGTTTTCAGGCTGGCACCTGCACAGCTCTGTAGTGTACCTGGGACCTACCACATCTCACTCCCTGCAGGCAGGGATAGGCTCTAGCCCCTGTGACCCCACACAGAATAACAGGAAGTAGAATTGAAGAAATTCTATACATGTTAATATATTTCTTAAGCATTTATATGAAATGTCTCCACTCCCTGCAGGATGAAACAAGTAAAAATGGCCAAGTAAATTCTTTCTGAGTGAACATTCAGCTTCACTTCTGTTTCATCAGCTTTGCCTCCTCCCTCTAATCGCCTTCATCACCATCATCCAGCAGGAACTCGCCGATCTCCTCTCTCATCTGAGACCTACAAAACACAACACCAGGTCCAAATACAGCGATACTGTGATATTTGTTTAAGCTTTGCGCATATACTGCATGTGCAACTACCCTGAAATAATAAATGACTCAATAGTGAAATCCCCACACATTTTTACAGTCTTACCATTCACTCTTTTTCCCCTCATTGACTTTTCCAATTATTAAAGGGCTGTACTGGTGAAGCTGTATGATTCAGCTCAATATTTGCCAGACGATAGCTAGTTCATTTTGGCATTTGAGGACAATCAGAAAAAACTAACGGTATTGATTTGGTTGTTCCAATACAATAGTTGGTTTGGCACAGAGTCTAAGTATTCACACTGGGATGACATGACCAGAAAAGGTCTGAAAATGCATTACAATGCGAACAGCACTACTTTATGCTTTCCAACTGATCAGCAGTTATGATGTTTATAAATGTACCGAATATTCTCCTCACCTCCTCTGCCGCCTCTGAGCCTCTGAGAGGATGTACTGCGGGAGACGTTCCAATGACGACTGGAAGGATAACAGATGAAGACAAAAGGGACAGGCCATGAGGACAGAGGAGGAAAATCAGTAGTACAGTAGGAGTAAAACAGAGAAGACAGGGGCAGGGAAACACCTTCATGTATGTTCTTACTTTACCAGTTACACACATTTTATGCAATTTTTTAAATACAAAATCTCCATTTTAAAAGGTCATGATTTATTCAGATTTTGGATTAAGTAGTTAACATCAAGCACGAGGTTTAGATTGTTTTTGGAAATCATGAAACCTGCTCAGTATGTCCCTGTGTGTTCACGCACCATGTCTTTGATGGTCAGCTGACAGCTGTAACACAGCAGGCTCTTCAGATCAGCCGTCTCTGGTCCCCTGCAACATACAACACAGAACGCTCGGAAGATGATGACAGCCTGCGGGTCTGAACCTGCTAAATGAATGCTAATGAGCACAACTGAACCCTCAGTGGCCCATGGTGTGAAAAAAACATGGCTGTTTTAATGAAAACACCTGACATAAATATACACTACTTGTTAACCGTTTTCCCATCTAGCTACATCAGTTGGTAAACTGTAAAAGTCAGTAAATGTTGTATATTTCCTAATGTTTTCACATTTTTCTGAATAACTTTTGTGCAGAGATGACTTTCATGAATTATTTACCATAACCAGCTACCTAATAACATTGCTGACATCAATTTGCATAGGGAACAGGTTTACTATATAATAGTATGTATTATTTTAATTTAATACAGGCAAATATACTTTATGTTGCCTTTCAGCTGATAGTTTACCATTTACAACATGTGCTTCCAAGGATGCTGCTATTGTTGTGTGATGTCAAACAGCTGCTTCTCGTGAAGTTGAAGGAGGTTGGAAATTTAACATGCTAACATGTTATGCATGCAGAGAGGAATACTGTTTCATTCTCCAGAGATGGAAATTGTATTGACAAAGACAGAAAAGTTTGAGTCCTGTTTAGAATGATGTGTTTGGAATCATCACTTTGCATGTTAAGTGTCAGTGTGAGTCCCTGATCAGATGAGAAAAAGAGATTAATCAAATTAAGAGGAATAAATATGGAACACTTACTTGGCAGAAGAACAGCAGCCTCTACCCCCTGCTGCTGTCCCACAATCCTCTCCTCCACCAGAGGGACAGCACTGCCCAGTGGGAGCAGTGGATTCTGACTCCACTGGAGCTTTAACAGAACCACAAGAAACAGATTTTATTAACACCCCGGAACAATCTGCTCTACTAAACACAGAGAAAAGTGCTGTGGCACATCATGTACCAACTTTTTAACTGTGCCATTATAAACACAGCACAGAAATACAACACAAGTATCTACGTCCAATTCATTACCTAACTGATGAGTTAAGCTTAAAAGCTTTAATGCTCTATATCCTGTTGGAAAAGGACTCCAAATGAACACGCGGAAGTTAAAATGACAATACCATAGAGAAACAACCACTACAAGAAATACTGAAGGCATGAGTGGAGATTGGAGAATGTATTCACTGACTGAGAGTATGCTGTACCTGGGTTTTGTCCTGGGACATCAGCACTGGTAGCTCCTGGAGATTTAGTCTGGGAAAGCTGCTCTGAGATCAGTGTGGCCTTGAAGGCTGATGCATTCTCTGAAAGAAAAAAGAAAAAGCAGGAGATGTGGGGTAAAGAATGCTTCTATCTGTTCCAGCCGCCTAGAAGGTGATCACTGCAAAGAGCGTCCACTAGAAATGTGCAGAGGTTTGAAGGGGAAGAAATCAGATTTGTTTCTCCGTATACTTTTACTTTTCTGATCTGAAAATATGGCATTCAGTACCATTACTCAGAGATCTTTGGTGTCTGCAGATCTTGATTCTGTTAAGTGACAAGTGTTAAGGTCTTTTGGGAGGATTTGGGAGGTGAACTGTGCTGGGAGGTGGCGTGAGTACTCAGTAGGTCTGATAACATGAAACATATTTTTTACAATAAAAAGAAAGAAGCTACTCAACTCCTAGTTCAGAAGGCTTGCATGTCCACGTGCTTCCTCTAAAGGTAGTTCCAGTCTATGAGCTAGCCGTTCAGACAACACTCACCAACAGCAGTATCCAGGGCGCACATGCAGAGCAGACATCTGTCACAGTGGTCGGCTGTGGTGGAGCTCTTACATGCTGTCTGCAGCTTCTCACTGGTCCTACAGGACACACAGTAAGCTTTTAAATGAGCTTAGTGTCGCGTTTCCAAAACTGTTCGTGTGTAGAAAACGCTCGAGTGGTTGTGCCTTGCTAATAATTAGAAAAAGCAGGCTGTGGGACGCGTACTTGTTCCAAAATGTCCAGCATCCATTATCCAATGATCGTGCGTCAAACCCTCACACGCAGTACTTTCTGCACAGTGTACGTTTGTGGTGTGATTCCCACTGACCTGTAGATGGTGCTGACGGTCGAGGGGAAGTCTGCCTGCAGTTTAGTGACAAAGCTCTCCGTCAGACGCTGGATACTGGCCTTGTCTGTTGTCTATGGGACAGACACAAACAAACTGAACGCTCTGGGGAGGTACATGTGGTGACAAGTAGGCTCGTTCATGCAGTAACAGGGACATACTGTGTCTGTAGGATTACACAAGGATAATGCATGTCATATTCTTCTGCACAGAGATATTATAAAAATCTCTGAACACTGGGAAAGAGACAAGTGTTAAGGAGTTTTCTCAGATCAGTCTATAAAATACTCCCCCCTCACGCTGCGACTCTCTCTCACTGCTGTCGGTGATCTCACCTTGTCCAGGCTTGGTATGAAAACAGACGGAACGCTGAACATCCGGTGGGTAGAAAGCTATTTCTTTAGCCGAGTAGCCCTCATTGGCCTCACTAGTATTATGTCACCATACCTGGAGTCTGAGAACCCCTGTTAGCACAAACACACAAAATATGTTTAAGTCAGATTGCTCCACAGAGAATCAGTCTTCCATCACAACTTTATCATCATCTGATGCCCTATAAAGAAAAAAGAAAGGGAAACAGAGCGTTCTAGAGGTCTAGGCTGGATGTGGGTGCTCTCTCTTCCCACCAGCTTTACAGTAAATGCAATGGTGTTCCCTCTCCCTCTGTTTTCATCTCTACGCACCGTGTCCTGAGCCAGCTGTGCGCCTCTGCCCAGTGATATGCTGGTGAGCAGTTTAACAGCCAGTCTGGTGCAGTTGTCTCCCAGCATCAGTTTACTGTAGCCTTCAGTACGAGCAGTGTGCACCAGCAGATGCTGCCTTGAGGAGAACACACAGTGTGGTCAGGGCGAGCAGGTCTAAAGATACAGACTGTACTTT